GTCTAAGTCGCACTGGCCATGTGACCACGGAAGATTGTCTTCGGACAAACGCTGGCTCTATGGCTTGGAAACGGGGATGAGCACTGCCCGCTAGAGTCAAACACGACTGGACAAAAATTGTCAAGGGGAACCTTTACCTTTTTTCCCCTTATGTAAGCATAAATTGTCAGCAGGATTCTGCCCACTTTTTTTTTAATGGGGGAAAGAACAGAATTAAGATCAGCATGCTATCTAATATCCCTCTGCAGCTTTAACCTTATCCCTTACTAACCAGCCTGAAAGAAGTTTGTCTGTTTGCTTTATAATATTATACTGGGAAGGTTCTTGACAATAAATATAACAAAATGGTTGCTGTTGTTGGGCTTCTAATCTTAAAAAAAAGGCATGACTCAAAAGGAAAAAAAAGGGATGTGGAGTAGAGATGAGCACGAAGCGGTTCATGCCAGTTCGTTTATCGGCCAGACGGGGGTGTGGCGCTTCAAAGCCCCGCCTCCTCCTGGAGTCGCCCACTTGGTTCATGCCAGTTCGTTTATCGGCCAAACGGGGGTGTGGCACTTCAAAGCCCCACCTCCTCCTGTAGTCGCCCACTCAGAGGCAGCACCCGGGTTTCCCCGCCCCACCTCCTTCAGGGGCTGTCTCTGAGTGGGCACCCACCCAAGGAGGCGGGGCTTTGAAGCACTGAACTTCTGCTTTTGTTGGGTTTTTTATATACAGTCAACCCTCGATTTACGAACTTAATCCGTTCCGGAAGTCAGTTCGTAAATCGGAAAGTTCGTAAATCGAGCCAGCATTTTCCATAGGAATGCATTGGAAACCAATTAATCCGTTCCGGCCGAAGTCCTCCCATGGTGCTAGGGAAGCAAGGCTTTTCACCGAGTGTCGCCGCAGCTGCCAAGTCCCCTTCACGCTGGGCCAGGGACTGACCTCAGCCCGGTGTGAAGGGGACTCTGCATCAGGTGAAAAGAGGGAGCCGATTTCTTCCCGGCCGCCTGGCTTGCTTCTCATTTGGAACGGATAGAAAACTGCAAGCGGGGACCCTTGAAAGGCCTATGCAGTGCTGTGCCATTAAATGATAACTTGGAAAAGTTACTTTTTTTGGACTGTATCCTCCTGAACTGCCCAGGCAGGATTTGACGAGGGGACCTTGTGCCCCCCCAAAAGCAACTTTTCCAAGCCCTCCACTGACTTCACAAAGGCAGCTGCGTCTTCCTATCCATTCGACTATTCGCTTTCAGTGCAAAGCAGTGTAAAAAGGGGCCTAACTTTGTTTATTCAATGGCTGATCATTCATCCTGGCCCGTCTCTCCACGCCAGCTCCATCAAAGAGCCAACGAGTGCATACGAGGACTCAAGCTCCTTCGAAGCATCGACACCGGGAAGGCGCCCGTCAACCTCCTGCGCACCGGCTTTGATCTCTCGACACTGAAGGTAAGCCACCTGATCTCATTGCGTCTGCCACCGTGGCTGTGATGTGAGGCAACACGTCTCCTGGGGGAACAAGCAGATGCTTTGGGAAGGAAATTGTAAGGTTTTTCTTCGTGCTCCCGATGGTGCTTGTTGGAAGTTTGCAACCACAGTGGACCCTCGACTTACAGACGGCTCGACTTACAGACTTTTCGAGTTACAGACTTCTCTGGCTGCAAAATTTAGATTCGACTTGCAGACGGAGAATCGACTTACAGACCAGAAAAAAACCCAAAATGGAACAAAAATAGAATAAAAACTGCCAGTTATGGGATTAATCAGTTTTCAATGCATTGTAGGTCAATGGAGACTCGACCTACAGACTTTTCAACTTGCAGCCACCATTCCAATACGGATTAATTCCGTAAGTAGAGGGTCCACTGCATTTGCAACGAATGGTGATCACTCCCAATTTACAGACGAAAGACTGAGGCTCACTTTCCAGAAAAGCCTCGTAGGTAGCCCCAGAAGCTAAGGTGTGTTCAAACCTGAGAGAATCCTTTCCCTATTACGTTGTCGGTCACAGGACCTCAATGGGTTACAGGAAATTCTGCACTACTTTTTCTCCTCAGTAGTGCCACTTGGTAGACTTTTCACCTACAGTAGGGCCCCCCGTATCTGCGGGATCCGTAACATATCTTACGGATATAAAAACATATCTCAAATTCTGATTTGTACTCAGCCGTGTCAGCACCGCTTCCATTTTTATTCTGACGGACTTCTCATCTTCAACACCTCTACAATCGGCAGGTACAATATGGTCTGGAATAGCTGTACTTCTTGAGTTTCGCTGGTGCAAATTGTGGAGAATTGCCACGGCAGTTTATTTTTTCTGAAGAATTTACCAAAATTCTTAAGTTTCTTAGTGTTCAGGAGGGAAAGCACTTGACATTTTAAAAAATGAAAACATTTCAAGGAAGCAAAACTGACAAATTTTCCATCTCTCTGCATGTATGTTCCTATTTTTATCTGTAGGCCATTGCCAGGTACATAGATAATTTTCGCGAAGGCTTTCACGGCCGGGATCTAATGGTTGTTGTGGGTTTTCTCGGGCTCTTTGGCCGTGTTCTGAAGGTTGTTCTTCCCAATGTTTCGCCAGTCTTTGTGGCCGGCATCTTCAGAGGACAGCAAACTGTGTATTCTGCAAACCGTATTCTGAGCAGACATGCATGTTACTCTGTCCCTCGAAGCTGTACTCCAGAGCACAGTTTGCAATCTGTGCTCTGGAAGACGCCGGCCACAGAGACTGGCCAAACGTTAGGAAGAACAACCTTCAGAACACGGCCAAAGAGCCCGAAAAACCCACAACAACCAAGAGACAATTTTATTTAAAAAGAGCCTGAAAAACCCACAACAACCCATAGATAATTTTATTTACACCCCATTTGCCCTCTAAAATTGACTTTAAAACAAAACATAAAGTGCATAAAAACAGTTCTTATTACAATCAGAAGAGTTCAGATGACTGCATTCTTGGCTCCTTTTAAGGCGAAAGGTGCGGTAAAAATATTTTAATTAAATTAAACAGATACAGAACCATAAATCCCAGGGTTGTGAGATTTTTGAGGCAAAAATGAAGAAGGCTGTCCTGCTTTGGACCCACCCCCACCCCCATTAGAAGCAAGAAAAAAGAGTAATGCTGGGGAAAGGTGGCAGGCAACAGGAAAAGAGGAAGACCCAATATGAGATGGATTGATTCCCACAAGGAAGCCATGGGCTTTGGTTAGCAAGACCTGAGCAGGTCTGTTGAGGTCACAACATTTTGGAGGTCACTCATTTCTAGGGTTGCCATATGTCGGAGGCGACTTGATGGTATGTAAAAATAGCAACAAAAGCATGCTAAATTTTATTATTATTTTGTAAGCCTCAGTAGCTCCCCCCGAAGACTGGACGGGTGAGGCAACCAAATCTCCTGCTTGCTTCCACCCTCTTAGACTTAACACCATCAGCTGAAGCTGCTGTCATTAAGATTCGAGTCACGCGGGCTTCTCTCCTCCTCCGGCTCTCTGCATCGCCCCCCCACCTGCTGCCTGTTCTTGTCGCGCCCAGTGGCTTGCCTCCCTGTAGTCGTCTTCTGCCCGTATTTTTTTTTCTCTCTCGGCACCTCCCTGTGCTTTTATCCTTTTTGTCACCAGAGGGAGCAAGGACTCGTTCTGTTCCTGGCCGACATGCGTCTTGTCCACCTGGAGAACAGAACGAGCCGAGGACAACGTGAACGAGACGAGACAAAAGACATGCATTTCCCAATCCGGCACCTTCCAGATGGGCTGGACTACAACCCCCATCATCTCAAGTCAGCCCTTGCTGGCTGGGGGCTCATGGGTTTTGTAGTTCAACACCCCGATGGAAGGCTTTCGAGTAGGCCCCTATGGTCTGTGTTCTCTCTTTTTCCGCCTTGTTGTGAGTTTAAAAGAAAACGTGTTTCTCCATCCTCTTGAATTGCTTGCGCCGTTGACTTTGCCGTTTCTTAGCGCATTTTAAGAATCTGTGGCAACCCCCTTAGCCGTGTCCCAAAGGAGAGTCCAGACGCACGCAGGCAGCTGTGTTGGTCAACAAGCCAAGTTCAGCAAAACTCCTCCAGAAGATGGAATGGTGGGCCTTAATTGCTCCTTCAAAACGAAGCTACCTCAAAATATTTTGCAAGGAAAAATAGAAAGCGTACAGAAATACCCTATCTTGGTGCTAGGAAAGTTTGCCCACCCCACCCCCATCCAGCTATTGTGAAGCTTTCAAGTGAGGTTAGAAATAACGGGAGATCTTAAGCGGACGGGTAGATCATGTCATCATCCCTGCGAATCAGGATCCCTGTGGTCCAGTCTTGTGATCCCCGACCCTATTGCAACACAGCCTCCTCCCTGTCTTTGTCTAGCAAATCCGATGCCTATTACCATTCCTGCAAAATCATTGCATCATGTTCTCTGCTCTCCATGGTGGTTGCTCCTGCCTTACAAATGTACCATATAAAGGCGTTCTCCATAGCCTGCACACTCCTTCATAGCACTTTATGCCTATATTGTTAAGGCAGGTAGGAGATGGAGTTTGCCAAGGAGCATTTAGAAGAAGGAGAATCACTTATTTTTTTAATGCATTAAGGGATCCTTTTTTAACTTAGTTATGGGAACTGATAATAGATTATTGATTCCTGGAAGATATGATCAGGGCCAGTAGCTTAAGTAGCCTTCAGAAGGAATGGATCAGCTTTCTTCAACCTTGTGTCCTCAAGACTTATCGGACTATAATTCCCAAGGTCCGAGGAAGGCAATAAGGATGATCAAAGGGCTGGAAACTAAGCCCTGTGAGGAAAGACTGAAAGAACTGGGGATGTTTAACCTTAAGAAAAGAAGAGTGAGGAGTCAGGAAAGACTGAAAGAACTGAGGATGTTTAACCTTGAGAAAATAAGTCTGAGGGGTCGTATAATAGCACTTTTCAAATATTTGAAAGGTTGTCCTACAGAGGAGGGGCAGGATCTGATCTTGATCATTCCAGATTGCAGGACACTGCAACATTATGGGCTCAAGTTACAGGAAGCCAGATTTTGGTCGACTCTCAGGAAAAAACTTCCTAACTGCTAGAGCAGTATGACAATGGAACTAATAACCTTGAGAGGTGGCAAGTGCTCCAAAACTGGAGGCATTCAAGAGAAATTTAGACAACCACCTAGCAGATACCCTTTGGTTTGTATTCCTGCATCGATCAGGGGGTTGGGTTCAATGGCCTTATAGGCCCCTTCCAACTTCATGATTCTGTGATCCTCCCAAGACCGTGTGGTCATTAGGATGGCAGCCAACTAATGTGTTGAATCCTGAAATCTTTGACTCGGCTTCTTCAGAGCATTCCTTCCATCCTGTTTCAGGACAACGTGGATCTGACCAAAGTTGCAGTCATGGGCCACTCTTTCGGAGGAGCGACGGCCATCCTGTCCCTTGTTAAGGAAGCCCAGTTCAAGTGAGTACATTCTGGAGCAAGGTGGCCATAAAAAAAGATCAAACAGGAGATGGGTTTAGGTTGAGTGGTTGCGGCTCAAGTGGACCTCAGAGCCACCATCCCTGAAGGCCATGAGGAGCAGTCTATAGGCTTGCTTTGGTCAAAAATAAAATAAAATCGGGAGGATTGGATGTGTGTTCCAGAAATGTTCCACTGGAGTTTCTTCCCACCCAGAGACTGCATCTTGCCATTTTCTGTACTGGAGATGATTCTGGCCTTCTCAGATGGCCACTCAGCCTTCTGTGTTGGTTTAATACTCTTCCAGGTTCAGTGTGAAATTTTTTTCGCCCATTCATAACCAATAAGGTACCTCTCCTAAGCTAGTGGCAGTATGAGTTCTAAGCTAAAATATTTAGCTTTTGTTTTTGTTCCAAAGCTTGGCCTTTGGCCTCCAAGAACTTATTTCTGAGGTAGAATTCAGGCCAGGGTCTGAGACCCCTCCCAACCTTGCTTTGAAGCACGTTTGTATGTGTTTAATGTCAATGGCAGCTGGGGACCTTTTTCTAGCGACATGCAGCCTGGTGGGAATTTGAAATCTGGGTTACTTGCTTGGCTCTACACCACACACTTCTGTTCCCCCTTCCTTATCACCTTGTGCCCAACTGCTGTAGGTGTGCGGTTGCCCTCGATCCCTGGATGTTCCCTCTGGAGAATTCTCTGTACCCCAAAGTGACCAAGCCGGTTCTTTTCATCAACACGGAATCATTCCAGACCCCGGAAAGTGTGGCCAAGATGAAAAAGATCACCACCACGAGCGGCGAGTCCAAGATTATAACAATTTTGTAAGTCTCGATCGGCACAGTCAGAGCACTCGGAAGCGTGCCATAATTTTATTGAATATGTTATTTTGGGCGGTGGGGCTTATATTGCGAGCATCCTGAAAAATCATACTAGGGCTTATTTTCAGGTTAGGTCTTATTTTTGGGGAAACAGGTTAGCTGGGACAATTCAGCAGACGTCTGGGTGCTGTGGTCCAAAAATGTGAACATCCCATCCCTACATAGAAATCTGAATGAAATCTACAGCTGTGGGCCTGCAGTCTTCAAAGCTTGAGTATATGTGGGAGAAAGAGAGCCTAGAGACATTGAAAATAAGGCCAGTTGGAACATCCCACAGCTCCTGGAAAAATAAGACTCAGTGGCTGGGTGGGAGTCTTAAACCAGCCAGACCTAAGTTGTCAGATGAACCCTCTACCTCGGAAGGCCCCATCTGTGGCAACCCTCAGGCTTGAACCTAGCACTGAACAAGCCACTTGCTTTTAAAAACTCCATAAGATCAGAGGCCGGCTTGCCTGACAAGAGCCCCCTGAAGCAGAAGAAGCAAGCAAGCGCCTTTGGGAAGCCGAGAAGCTGCACCTTTAAGGCGTCTTCCTTGGAGATATAAGAGGCAGAGGCTGGAAGGAATACTGGAGAAGATGCTGCCGCCTTTGTTACAGCAAAGATGCTCGTTAATTGGCCCTTGCAGGCGACGGTTTGGATGAGTGAGGGGGGGGAAAGGGCACCCTGCTGCTTATCTGCAATCCGTGCATGCCGATTTTGCTCCTCTTTCCCGAACCACCAGATGGAAGAGTGCCAGCTTGCGCTCTGGCTGGACAGCCGATGATGTCATCGTTCTGCATTTTTATTAATCAGCTTTATTATTAGACTGTCTGATTCTTAGGGAGTCCTGAGGAAACGGTCAGTGGAGAAGGGCGATCATTGCAAAAGAACAAAATGGGTGTGTCAAAGCGAGTGCAGTTGAATCAGCTGTCCGGATGGAGGGCATGCGGTTTTAATATTTATGCAGACTTAGCACAGTTGATGGTTTGTTTGAGGTTTGGTGTGTCCGCGGAGGCAAAGCATTCAGTTCAGCGGCCTTTTTCATTGTGTGGGCCTGTTGTGGGAAGGAGAGGCAAAATCTTCCCCAGAGGTAGAAAAACGCCTGACAAATGCCTTATATCCTGATCTCATTCCACATTCCTTGTCGCCCTGTTGATCCGTTCTCTTGCAGGGCACGTCATAATGGGCTCACGCGACAGGAAGCCAGATTTAGGCTGAATCTCAGGAAAAACTTCTTAACTGTTAGAGGAGCATGACAAAGGAACCAATGACCTCGGGGGGGGGGTGACCGCTCCGGGGACGTGTCCCGTGTTGAGGCCAGCATAGAGCTGGACCTGCTTATTGGTCTCTGTCCTTTTAAGGTGTGGGCTTCTTCCTTCCAGGGGGACCGTCCACCAGAGTCAGACCGACTTCACCTTCCTGGCTGGGAATCTCGTGAACAGAGTTTTCCAAACGAGAGGCACCATCGATCCTTACGAAGGCCTCAACATCACCAACCAAGCGGCTCTGTCCTTCCTGCAGAAACATCTCCGTAAGTTTCTTCTGTTGGGAGCGGCCGCCAGGCTGGCCTGTTGAACTTCAAAGGTCAGAATGGCGTCATAGGTTCAGATTTCTTCCTGACGTCTCATTCTTCAAGAGAAATGGATCATGGTATAAACACGAACATAGGCTCAGGGACCCTCATCGAAGGCTTGCACCAGTGAGTAAAACCAAAAATCTCACTTTGCTAGGAGCCACGCCAATCTCTGTGCTGTGCATCATTTTTAGCGCCGCACGTTTAAAGGGTAGGCTAACCGTTCATAGGTTATGGGATAAGGGGCCGAAGGTAGGGTGGCAACGTCTAATCCTCTGAGTTTGGGGTTAGTTTGAATGCAAGTGGATTATTTCATGAGCCATGCTGTTATTTTGGCTTGAACTTGCTTAGGGTGGCTGCCAGGCTGAACAGTATCCATTAGTCTACCTCTATATTCCCTTTTTTAAAAAATAAATTAGTGAATCAAAACAGACTGCACCGATGAAACCTGGCTCATTGACAGAGGAGGTCTTATATCTTAAAAGTATAGGAGGATACCTGGCTAATCTTGTAAAATATCATAAAGATGTACAGCTCAGTCATGTGTGTGCTCAAAATATGCCCCTTTATATTCCATGGGGTACCGTCCTCAATGGATTCAGGCTGGTTTTCAGCTTCTCATCATAGCTGCCAAGACATGATGCAAAGACGCATTCCCAAAGGCACCGGAGGAGATTTCGATCCTTGAGGATACCAGTTCTGCTGTTCCAGAACATGGCTTTTCCGACTGCTTGACACTTCCTTGGTCTCTTAATAGTCCAACGGACTTTCCTGTATCTTAATGGCTGTAGTGAAGTCTTGCTGGCAGCTGTATCTTGCATAAAAGCATCTCCTGCACCAGGCAGAAGAAACTAGTTATAAATAGCCAGTAACTTTTAATTCATTACTTTCCCAAGCTGTAAAGATAGAACTATATTAGATGACTATTGTAACTTAATGAGGCATAGCTATAATCTTTTTGCATTGTGAACTAGACATGAAAGAAAATGCATATATGATGAATCGGTTTTCTCTCCCACAAGGCAGTTTATTTCCTTTGGGAATCTGTTTGCAAATTAAGTCCATGTTTACCTTCTAGTGACTGAGCACAAAACAAAGCACGCTAAATGGAAGGTACAGAGTTGAGGAAAAGCACATGCTATGAGAGGCAGACATTTTTCACCACCTGAAAGAGCCCTGCTTCTAAGTATGTCCAAGCATGTGGTTTGGTAGTTTGATTCTGCAACATTTAAGTTGCTTTTATCATTTTGGAGGTATAGTCTGACAGGGTAGAAGGAGAGTATTATACGCTGACTTTTAAACAGTCTGGTGCTTCTGAATGACATGCATTCAGCGAAGTAACGAAAAGTACCTCTGTGGGTTTTTTGAGAACTGTGTAAGTAAACTTATTTTTTAAAAGAATAAAACATAGCCCCAGTAATGGCTGAAATATAATTGTAACTAATTACTTTTGTAACTACTGAATTATAATAGTAATTACTTTTAGAAGTAACTTTTTGTGATAGTGCCTTTCTCCTTTTCCCCTAGAGCTGAAAGAAGATTTTGACCGATGGGATGGTCTTCTGGAAGGCATCGGTGACTACATTGTTCCAGATAGCCCTTTGCAGAAATCCAGTCTTTAGGCACAAAATACTTTATCTCTCTCAAAATACTGTATCTCTTTGGGGTATATTCTGTTTTCCCCACCTTGGAATGGGGCGGGGGAAGTACCCTCTTAATGTGCAATCACAATCTGAACTCAGGACCCGTCAACAACCTCGCAGGATTTTCCACAGAGATGTTCTTATCGCCCTCCGCTTTCTCTGAAGGTGCTCCTCGCTCCTTCGGTACGACAGAGGGGTGATCAAAACCAGCCTGCTTCCTCTGTTCCTCCGGACATTGTTCTGAGATGTAGAAATCAGGGGTGCTGTTTTTGGGGGAGCAGCGGAGAGGACCCCCCAAAAAACAGGAAGTTTTGTGGCAGAAGATCTCCCTGAATTGGGGGAGGGGGTGGAGGAACCCCTTGGGAGCACGGCGGTCCTCAGACCCGAGGACACGATTTCCCTCGACCGCTTTTGTAGCCAAACCATATTCCACGGGGGAAAATGGTTACCTTTTTGTTCCTGTTTTGAATTGGGAGACAAGAACAGGATTCTAAAGAGGAGAAAGTAACCTTATCTCACCTGATGGTGGCTGTTAGAAAATGGAAGGGATTGGGTGGTCTGCAGTTCACCCTGGGAACCGAAGCAAAGATTTTCTGCCAGGCCGAAGGAGCAATGCTGTGCCGGGGCGTCTGTCTCTGAATCCTTTCTTGATCCCTATGAATTACTTTCCAGATATTTTTAGAGCTACTGTCTTCTTGCCTCCTGACTCCCTCCAGGACCTTTCCAGGTGGTCCTGAGATTTTTTTTGTATGTTTGTATATATGCAATCTTTTGGAGATACAGATTTCTTCTGTGTATCTCCAGTGGACCAAAGGCGTCTGTGATGGGACAGTTGCATTAGCAAAGATGGAATGAGAGCCCTTGCAGCTTGGATGGTAAATATTTTGTGTCTAGGGCCTCAAATGCATCTTGGAAATGTCCCTTCTGACCTCATCATCTTGCCCTTTCCATGTGGGTCAGCAAATATTTAGAGCAGTGGTCCTCAACCTTGGGCCTCCAGATGTGCTCGGACTACAACTCCCAGAAGCCTTCACCACCACCTCTGCTGGCCAGGATTTCTGGGAGTTGAAGTCCAAGAACATCTGGAGGCCCAAGGTTGGGGACCACTGATTTAGAGGATGCTCTATTCCACATAGGTGGCCAAGAAGAAAGGAATATACAGTTCTGGGACGATATGAAAAAGATTTCCTGGTGCACAGAAGGATTGCGTGGTGTGTCAGCCCCATAAGTGTTAGTATATCGAAGTGGAAGGTCTTTAGCATGATTGAAACCTTCCCATAGCTTGGAGAAATTAACTGTTTGGCTGCCGGGCCCATAAATGCAGTAATAAGCGCCACATTCCTTCCCATCATGTACGAGCGCATAGGCCGTGTGTGTGGGGCTGCAGGGCTTGGCTGGGTCACATACAGTGGTGCTTCGCTTTCCGATTGCCCCACACTATGATGAAGCTGCTTAACGACGATCTTTTTGTGATCGCAAAACAATGGTCTGAATGGGTGAATTTCGCTTTGCAATGATCGGTTCCCTGCTTCGGGAACAGATTCTTCGCAAAATGACATTTTTCGAACAGTTGATCGGCAGTTTCAAAATGGCTGCTGGGTTATTAAAATGGCTCCCTGCTGTGTTTAGGGACGGATTCCTCACTATACAGGCAGCAAAAATGGCCGCCATATGGATTATCTTCGCTGGACGGTGAGTTTTTACCCCATTGGAAGGCATTGAATGGGTTTCAATGCGTTTCAGTGGGGTTTTTATTTTTGCTTTACGATGTTTTTGCTTAACGGCAATTTTCCTGGAATGGATTATCATCGTTAAGCGAGGCACCACTGTATTTGGTAGCAGGCCGAACCTAGCTTACCTCTCCAGCGTTACTGCAATCTTGGGCAATTGCAAAACCTTGATCCTGTGCGAGTATCCAGAAAAGGCTGCTGTTGTATTAATTTGTGCTGGTGGAAAACGGACGCCTGGATTGATTTTTTACTGCTGTAATTGGAAATGAATCCTTTGTAACATGATTATACGCTTTCGTGTTTTCTCCTGGCCTCTTATTTGAATGGGAAGGGGAGATCGAAGAGTTGGGGTCCTGGGACATAAAACAAGAAAGGAAACCCGTTCTTTGCGGTTGCTTAGAGTTGCCAGATTATGCCCGTGTGGCCCACAACACATGTTTGGCACAGCTCCTAGATGTGCAAAAAGTATCATACCGGTCCCTGTTTTACAGGTGCAGAGGGGGAATGCGACATGTCGCGGTCGAGCCGATCATACCTGCCAGCTCTTGCTTGCACACCCAGTTTGGGAATGTTATTTCTCCAGCACTACAACTGTGGAGTCATCTTTCCATTGCTGTCTAATATCTACATGACCCCCCCCGGAAGAGCTACCCAGAGTGGCCTTGGTAGCCAGATAAAAGATGAATGAATGAATGACCCAGCTGCCATCTCCACCACGCTCAGGGTAATGCGGAGACCATCTCTCTTAGGGAAGATCCGTGGCACTGTGCTCCAGGCACTAGAAACAGGTGGTCCCAGGTAGAATCCAGCCACCTATTCCTTTTGAGTTTTATTTATTTATTTATTTATTTATTTATCTTATATGCCGCCCACACTACCCGAAGGTCTCTGGGCGGCTTACAGCATTTAAAATACAATAAAAAGGCAAAATAAAAGGGCAAAATAATTAAAATGCAATTAAAATATATATTCTAAAAATTGCCATCAGACCTACAGCTGATATTATTTCAGTTAAAAGCCTTTTGGAACAGGAAGGTTTTGACCTGGCGCCAAAATGTCATCAGCGTCGGCGCCAGACGAATCTCAGTCGGGAGGGCGTTCCATAGTC